CCTCAGGGCTTCCCCTCGAGGCATCATATATGCCAGTAACTTCCACCAGCTCAAGACTCCGGTCTTCAGTTGTCTAACTACAAAGACAGTCTTCTGTTTGTTGCTACAGTCTCAACTCTCAAACACCATCTCCATTTCGGAGATCCAGTCCATAATCTCAACAGGCTTTGGGCTTCCAGAAAGACTTGGCGGCTTGGCGCCCAAGAATTTTTTATACATACGCCCATCCCTGTTTCTTTCCCTTTCCGGGTCATTCCTTTCTGCCACTGGGGTTCTACTTGCCCAACAGTCCCACTGGAGTTACCTCCTACCGACGGCCCTCCATTCACTTCGAGCTCTTCCACTTGAAGTGACAATTCCTCACGATTCTATTGGAGTAATCACCTTGTCTCCTCCATTTGGCGATCCAACATCATCTGCATCATCGCTTGCACCCCAACCATCGTCAATTGGTTCTGGTGTTGTTGCTACAACAGGTGCTTGCTCAATCACAGGTGGTTGGTTCCTGTCTTCGTTCACGTTTCCAACTCCACTTCTGGTTCTTACCATTTTTGATCTACACACCAAATATGGTGAATTCAGATCCTCAATCACAATAGATAATTAAATCATCCTTATCACTCCAAAACGTTTACATGCTAGTTCTAATATCGTAGCCGTACGCTTAGAATCCTAAACACATAAGGTTTCCAGATCCGGTCGGCAATAGACCATAGATCCGAACAAATAATAACATCAATATAGCTATCACACAAAACATTTAGCACATAAAAGCATTTTAGGCATCATTCCTAAAATAAACTAGTGCTTGTGTCAATTTAGGTGTACTACCTAACATATTTTAGACACACTCCTCACAATAATTACTTAGCATTCTAAGTTTAAGTTTAGAAATTTCCTACAAATTCCTAGTTCGTTTAAACTAATTCTCTGATACCAACTGTGACATCCCCAAATTTCACGGCCAGAAAAGACAGATTTTTTATGCTTTGTTTTTAAAATCAGAGTAATCTTTTAAAGAAAATAGTTACGGAATTTGTTCCCAAAACAAGATATGATAATAACTTATCAAAACATTTCTCAAATTGAATGTATTTTCATTTAATAATAAAACCTCGGGATGTCATGTTCCGATACAGACATATAAGCATAGACAGAACTTACATTCAATTACACTAATGATTTATATCTCCTTTAAATCTCTTTGTGTAATATGTCTTCGTATTAATACCTGTGATACAAAGAAAACTAAGTGGGTCAGGCTTGGGAGCTTGGTGGGCATATAGGGTTTTCATCCCACAATGTTATATCATATATTTATAAATATAGAACATCAAAACTTGTACAATTTCACCATATAAAGGCAACTCTTGTCCCACCTCATCGATTCTCACAACGACACAATCTAAACTCTCGTATCTAAAATTTTCCTCTTTACCTAATCCTTACTCACAGATCTAAAACTATCATCTTCACCCGATCCATACTCACGGATCTAAAACTAACATTTTCACCTGATCCATACTCACGGATCTAAAACTAACCTCCTGATCTAATCCATACTCCCGGATCAAATATTGTACCAAATTCATACTCCCGCAACAGGGACAATTAACTATACCTTAATCTTGATCTGATCCATACTCCCGGATCAATAATTGTGCCCAATCCATACTCCCGGACTAGGTACAATTAACTTAGTCTTAATCCATATCCCCGGACTAATAACAAGTTTTATCTCTTTACCTGATCCATACTCCCAGATCTAAAACTAACCTCTTGGTCTAATCCATACTCATGGATCTAAAACTAGCCTCTTGATCTCATTATCCAACTCATCCTTTTATCACACACCAACTATCTCATCTACCCATGTTCTACCCAACATATTTGTAGATATAAAATACATATACTATTTAACTCATTTAAAAACTATATAAAACATCCATTCCACACTCATGTCAAATAAAACACAACAATATATAAACACATAGCACGTATTTTATAACAAATACTTCATATTTATGTGTTAGGAGAAAGTAACCACACACTCACTTGATTTGAAGATGATCGGACAGCACTATGGCTTGTAGAAGTAGTATTCTTCGGTAGATCTGGAAGATCTTCACAAAAACCGGGCTCCTCGCGGGTAGAGCTTCGGCTTGGGAATCGCACTTCTCGGGATCTTCGGGGCTTCGAGACTTGCTTTGGGTCTCGGGAATGATACCGGGGCTTCGGGATATTTCTTGTACGAAAAACGATGCAAAAACACGAGAGAGAGGGAAGAAATAAGCAAAGAAACTCGGCAGCCTCGACTTCCTTTTATAGGGGCTGGAACCTTCGATTACGCTAAGCGTAATCTTAGGTACGTTGGGTGTAACCTGGATTAGCCCAGTGACTCCCCCCTTTGGATAATATCCAATTTTTATTTAAATTAAATACTTTAATTATTTAATAAACTTCAAAAATTCATATCTTTCTCATACGAGCTTCGTTTTCGACGTTCTTTATATCCCTGCGTAGGTGAGACTACGATCTACAACTTTTGTTTAGACTCCATCGGCTAATTTTGAATTTATTTTTATTATATTATTTTAGTAGGCCGGGACAGGAAAACTCCGTTATAAATTCATAACTTCTTCATCCGACGTGCGTTTTCGCCTATCTTTTTATCGTTTCACTACAATTGACGAGATCTTCGATTCTCGTTTAGATTGTTAGGCTAAAAACCGCTCGATCTCAAATCGAGTATTCGGGCTGCATACCGCTAAGTCGAAACTTAGAAAAATCATAACTTCCTCATACGAAGTCAGATTCTGACGTTCTTTTTATGCACGCTCATGGTTCAGCGTCGTGACGGTTCTGTCGCGAAACTTCAACAGGTCATAACTTCTTCGTTATAACTCGGATTTCGGTGTTCTTTATATGCACAGAAACCTTGTAACATATACTATAACTTAGTTAATATTATTCATTGTAAATAATCTTTCATCAAAAATTCATTTTTGATGCTTATTATCTCTAAATTGACTAGCCCGGATCTACGGACGTTACAATATGTATGTGTGTGTGGGGGGTGCATTGGTAGGTATGTATGTGTGTGTGTGTGTTTGTATGTATGTGTGTATGTGTGTTTGTGGGTTGGTGTGTGTGTGTGCGGTTGGTTGTGTGGGGGTGGGTATGTATGTCTGTGTGTGTGTGGGGGGGGGGGGAGTATGTATGTGTGTGTGGGTGGGTAGGTGGGGGGTATTAAGGTGAGGGTAGGTAGAGGTAGATGGGGGTGGGAGTGAGTGTGTGTTTATATTTTAGAAAAAATTTGGAATTAAAAAAACGTGAAAAACAATGATTATTAGTTTTCCAAAAATTTTCCAACTTCTTTGTAATTTTAGAAAACGGAAAATTTTCATTTTTCGTGAAAAATTTAAAAAAATAGACGAACTAAACACGTTTTCAAAATTTTCATTTTTCTTTGGAATTTTTTTCCAGAAAACAGCTTATTTTTCCGCATCTAAAACGTACCCTAAATTTTTTAACTCCGTAGTAGAGGCCCATAGCGTTCTTCTCAATCTCAACCAGTGAAACATAAATTGTTTTTTACAAAAGTGACTGAATGAAGAACCCAAAATAATAATAATAATAATAAATAAATAAATAAATAAATAAAAATAGTAAGGTGAAAGGCAAAATATTTCAAAAGACAAACAATATGCGACATAAGTATGATATACGAATTTATCATGGTAAATGTAGATGGAGAGGATAATATGGTATAAAAGATGTTTGGAAAGTGCTTTTTTTGCTTTTTAATTCAACCTTATCTTTGTTTTTGTTTTGTTTTTTTTTTTTTTTCTGTTTGTTCCTAAAATATTTATAAATAATGTTATCTTAATTAAAACATTCCTTCAAGATATAAAAAGCTTATATGACATGTCTTTCTATGGAACACTCACGATGCGAGTCGTGTTGTTCAGAAATTTTAACGACTAGTTCACTAGAAATATTTATCAAACCAAAGTTGACTTACACTAAAACAAATATTTAAAAATATATATGATGAATAAAAAAAGTTAAAAGATTTTAACTAAAAGATTAAACTATTCAGCAACTAATAATTAATGGTTTTTTCGGCTTATTACCCCTTCGATTTTTATTCAGCTATAAAGACTTTCTAATAAGCATGTGTATATCAAAACTCTTAAGAAGAATTTTTTTTTTTTCTCAATAATCATTTTTAAATTTTGATTGTCTTTGTTTTTATAAAATATATAAACTTGTTTAAATTAAAAATCATTACAAAAACAAAGTAAAATGGTTTTTAGAATGTATGATAAAAGAAATTAGTTTAAAATAAAAATGAAATAATTACAGATCTTTTATAGTATTATTGATAAAAGAAATTAGTTTAAAATAAATCGTAATGTAGTGTTGTGGTACTCTTTAAAAAATATAATGTATTTTAGATGTACGTTGTACTCCACTCTCTCGTATATGATAGACACAGTATCTTATGTTTTAGAGTTTATTGTTATGTTCGAGTTTATTGTTTTTAACGAAAAATATTCAAAGTAAACGGTTTCCTATGTGCAGATTGCAATTAAAATTAAAGTTAAATGATTGTCTGTGTATGCACAACAAAAAGTAAACGACTATCTCTTCCTTCCCCTAGTTTATATCCCAATGGCATTGACTTTTCCAAACATGAGAAGTTAACATAGATATATACCTCTGGGAGATATACCTTTATTTCATACTTGAGTTTTTGAAATCGATTATCATAATTATATGGCATTACTGAAACAGTTGGAGCACCTCAAAATCTCACTAGATGTCATTAAGTTAGCCACCAATAACTTTGGACCTGAGAACTTTATGGGGGTCGGTGGGTTTGGCAAGGTTACAAAGCAGAAATAACTACAACCGAAGGGCTAACAAAAGTCGTTGCAATAAAGAGATTAGACAGACGCCATGGTCAAGGCGAACGTGAGTTTCTAATGGAGATAATGATGCTCTCTCGTTATCGACACAAAAACCTAGTCTCTCTCTTAGGCTTTTGTGACGAAGGTGACGAGAAGATTCTTGTTTATGAGTACGAGTTTAATGGTAGTCTTGAAAAGTACCTTAGTAGCAACAGTCTAACATGGGGTCAACGCCTGAAGATATGCATTGGGGCAGCTCGTGGACTGGAGTACCTTCACAACCCTCTTGAGACACAGCAAAGAGTCTTGCATTGAGATGTGAAGAGTGTGAATGTACTTTTAGATCAGTTTTGGGAAGCTAAAATAGCTGAATAATAGTAAATTAACATATACTTTACTAACGGAATTTAACAAGGAATAATAGTAAATTAGGGAATCCGCATTAAACTATCCATATACATGGATTGTCACTCACATAATTATTCTACCTTTTATATAACTTTATAATTTTTTTTTCATTGAACTAACAAAGTTCAATAAAACATACATTTTTTTTCTTTAAAAAAAATATTACAAAACCTAATTTATGACATTTGTTTAAAAATTGGAAAGGAACTCTTCCCTATTGGAATGGTTTAAGAGCAACTAAAATTCAATATTCATCGAACACGTTAACTTAACTTGGCGTTATTGTTGGGTTTAATTCATTGAATTTCAACTGGACATTCCACTAATCATTCAACTCTTTTATATATTAAAGTGTGTGTGATAGTGTTTTATATTATAGCAATATATGCATGTGGGAAATGGCTTAATTACTCAGGCCTCTCGAAAGACCACTTTTTATTCGTTTAAGTTCATTAAACAAAGGTTAAATACTTAAATTCATTGTTGATAATAATTTTACACATTTTAATGTCTAGTGGTTTTCCTTGAGCAAGAAAGAACAGAATTGTGAGATGATTTCTGCATCAGAATTCACGTTCCAAGATCCCGGAGTTGTGCAATGGATTCCTCACTCTACATCGAGGTTCTCTCATCATCTCGTATACACACACACATGCATAGATCAACATATATATGATGCATAACTCCTCATGTCCCACCGCATGTGTAGGTTTTTTGAGGTAGCTAAGATTGAAAGGCCACATAATAGTTCTTCATACGTAGACCAATCAAAGATGACTCGTGAACCCATATTTTTGGGTTTACAATTCAAATTTAAAGACGCAAATGAATCATCATTCTCTCACCTTGCAGACTGGATAGATAATGGATGGATGATACTTGAACTGTGTCAATTTGTTAGTTATAGGAAAGTCGCAAAGCTTGAGCTTTTGCTTGAAGGAATTCCTAGTTATAATTTCATGTTACTTGAAGGCATCCAGTTCTTGCCTATCGAGATGCAGGTAATTAATTAGCATCGTCGATCATCCTTTCATAATACTTAGTACACGAGATATAATTTTATTTTCATTTACAGGCTATAGAAGAAGAGCCATTAGAAGTAGTAGACAATTCAAATACGATGATAGATGAAAACTGGGAACAAAAACTACCAAACGACTATCCGTACATAATCAAAGCAGCAAAGGATCGTGTCCCATACAACATTACTAACAAAGAAATCTACACGCTTCTTTCAAACGGGATTCTTACGAACAAAGGCCAAATGGTACGTAATTTTTTTTCTTTTAAAAGTAAAGGTTCGTTGCGAACACTGTATATATATGTTTCTTGGTTGTTAAACGTTTGTTAAAATCGTTCCTACAGTTGTTTTCTCTTGATAAAGATGGAATCAAATGCTGTATGGCATCAGCAAGAGCATTTTTAGAAGACAACGACGGGGAATTCAGCAGGTTCTCTGATCTGGCGTCTTTTCGTTGGATATCTCTATATGAATCAAGGTAGCTACCCTAGCTTCTTAACGCAAATGGATTTTGGTTATAAATCAACCATTAGGTCAACCTTTTGGTGCATTTTTTAAAACATGCAAGTGAAAGCATTAATCGACCAGTTGAATATTTGCAGATTCGAGAAGGTGGCTGAATGTCAATCAGGCAGGGTTTTGCGTATAAACTGCCTTATCAACTCACATATGCTTACACCAAACACAACCTATGCAACTTACCTTGTGTGTAAACTACCAGAAGTCAGCCATGTGACGCTTAAGTGTCCTCTAGAAGTAAAGGACATCAGCTTTGGCTCTCCGAATTTCAATGAAGTTCGTTTTATCTATTTGAGTAGCCCAAAAACCCCGTTAATTATGCTGACAAATAGTGACCAAGATCGTAATCAAAGACCAACCATGAACCCATTGTCTAGACCTAAAATAGAGAGCATGTTGAGACAACGGAAAGATGGGTGGATGGAAGCTCGGATATGGACATTTAAAGTAGATGCTGCAACTTCTGTGAATGTAACGTTCGCCTTGACCTGTAACGAACGCGAGCAGCTTACCGGGCTTATTGTGCAAGGAATTGAGATCAGGCCAAAATAAACTCTACTTGTGAAATGAGATCTACTCGGATACGTATGTGTATGGACAAATTTACATAGAACAAAAATTTGTTCACTCCAACTCAAGGTTGTCAATATTGGAATTTTATTTAAAAAACACTTTATCTTTTGCAAGATCTGAATGAGATTGAAAGATCCTAACAAAATTAACTTATATTCAAATTTGTTTGCAAGATATTAGGTGTAGGTATACATTATAACTTGATGTTAGATATATATTAGGTGTAAGTATAACATTATAACTTGATGTTGATCAAGACAACGATAATGGAATCAACTTTAACTTCTTATGCATGAATCATAATTTTTGTTGCTACAAACTGTAAAAATTAAGAAAAAAAACATCTTAATTAGAAAAAAATATCATTTGATCATGTACAACAAAAGATATAAGATCACAAAGATCTAGATTATTATGAGTGTGTCATGTTTAATATAACATGAATTGATGAAATGATAATGCTCTACAAAACTTCTTGCAACATATGATACTTGATTTCAATTTAAATAAGCGATTTTTTTGAGATCATGATCGTTTTTTAGTTGTAGGATCTTAAAACCGTAAGATCGTAAGATCTTAAGATCATGATCGGGATTTTAACAACCATATTCCAAATAGTTAATGCTTCCTCACTAGTACAAAGCTGAGTTTTATCCACGTAAAAAACCCGTGTTTATAGGCATTTTATGACAGGTTTTTTTTTTCATTCATTGTGTGAGGAAAGTCGCGTCATTAAAGATAAGTTATGTTGTCGTTCAATTGTGGTGGGTATAACCAATTAAAAACCGTTATTATAGGTCAAACTTGTCATTATATGGTAGAGTGTTTTTGAAGATATATCTATATTTTTTTAACCATCCTTAATAATAAAGCTATAGTGATGTGTTTTTCATATAGAGTGAAACATCCAAAAATTATGACCTAAAAATTTCATTTTTAGTAAAAACAGTATTTACAAAACATTGTTCATACATTTCAATCGAATAAATATGTCACTCCCCATAAAAATCAGAGTATGTCCCATAAACAGAATTCATATGATGTGTGCGATGCAGTCAATCTGAGCTTTTCCCCTTGGAACCGAAAGTACTTAAAATATAAACTAAAAACCATAAGCACAAAGTTTAGTGAGTTTCCCAAAGATACCACATACTAAACATATCATATAACGGGCCCCACCCAATGAGATACGGGCCCTACCCACACTCGCATAACGAGCGCCACCGAATGAGATATGGACCCGCCTACACTCACATAACAATCCCCACCAACACTCGCAATACGGGCCCCGCCCAAATAAACATACATATACAAGCACATACAAGTGTCGTACAGATAATAAGTATATCGACATAACCATACAATGGTCGGTCTTGATGCCTTAGACCCGTTAAACCCAATGAGGAACTCACCTCGAAAAGTTGAATGAAACGAATAATTCCTGAATGCTGGTCCTACAGCTCCCCGAGCTATCAATTGCCAAAGAAAAGCTAATTAACATTTTGGATCTACATCATAACCAAAAATCCCTACCTAAGGTAAAAATATTATTTTACCCACAACATAACTTGGTCCAAGAATGAAGCCCTTAACCATAGTCCAATGGGCTCATAAGTTAAACAACCCATCAAGGCTCAAAATATGACCCAATTTCCAATTGGTCTCAATCCCTTCACATGGGCCTTATAGGCCTTAGCCCAAGGCCCAATAATCTCCTTTAGCCCAAATGTTTGATTTCAGATTGCCCAATCCCTTCACATTAGTGAAATTATTTTTTGTTTTTTATTATTCATTTATTTAAGATTAGAAGTTACTAAAAAATTAAAAGACTTTTTAGTATGGAAGTTTCCATGATTTGGTTTATGTTTGTATATGCTATTATCTAGAGAGAGTAAAAGTTGTGCATTTGGGATTTTTGGGTTTGGACCTTTTAAGATGTGGGATGTTTTTTGATTTAATTATCTATCAGTGTCTCTTCGTTGGTGGTTTTTTCTTCTTATAACAAAGAAAAGTGCTAAGACGTTTCTAAACAAACACCAAATCTCATATTTCACATTATTTTGTTGTAATTCATCTTCAACCCTACATCATTATGGTATTAAATTTTCATATGATCATATTTAATCATTTTATTTTTTTAATACACACATTTATTTTTTGAATAGAAAAGCATCAGTTATCTAATTTCATACGATAATCTGATATTTTTTGTTGAAAAAAAGAAGAAGGGATGTCTTTTTAATTTAAGCAAAATATAAAATATTACTGACTTTATGTTCAAAAAATAAAAATTAGAATTAAAGTGTAAATTGACCCAAAATATTGAAATTTTATCGGATATTTCTTTAAAATATATCTTAAAGTTTTGAATTTTGTTAAAGAAAATTATCATAATTAACAATTTTGGATAAAATAACACCTAAATCGAGTTAATGATATGCAAATAGTTTGCTTATAATCTTGTAATAGTATATAATTAACAATTTTGGATAAAATAACACCTAAATCGAATTAACGATATGCAAATAGTTTGCTTATAATCTTGTAATAGTGTATATTATTATGTTTTTATAAAAAAAAATATGTAAATAAATATGTAAAAATAATAAGTTGGGGGTATTTTCATAATAATCTGTATAAGTTAAAAAGGGAAGACACTTTTATTGGTGTAGATATGAAATATTAGATACACCATTTTGGTATAAAAAATATTGGATTGGACATTGTCGTATTAAAGAAAAACAACAATAGGCATTTTCTTTATAGAAAACTACAACTTTGTTAACTATAAAAAAAATATTATAATTTAAAGAATGTATTTTTCATATTCATAATCAAATAGGGATGAGATGGGTCTCGGAAGCGAAACAAGAACCGAAAAATGGAAATGAGGAAATAAGTGAACCATGAACCGAATTAAAAATACTGAAAATATTGGTTCGTTTCCGTTATGGTTTAGGCAGATCCAAAGACAAAAACAATATGCGACATGAGCATGACATACGAATTTATCATGGTAAATGTAGGTGGTGAGGATAATATCGTATAAAAGATGTTGGAAAGTGTTTTTAAATAGCTTTTGAATTTAAATCTTATTCTTTCTTCCTTAGTGTGTGTATATATATATATATATATATATATATATATATATATATATATATATATATATATATATATATATATATATATATATATATATATATATATATATATATATATATGGGTTAGGTTATTTTGTTTTTACTAACTATTGTGTGCCAGAATGCACAGATCTGGACCATCAGATGTAATATAATCAAAGGTCATGATCTGAGGATCTATGATAGTAGAATAGGATAACATATACCATATAATCACACAAATTTCAGCATAGGAGCATTTTAGTCAATTAACCTATATTAAAAAAGGAAATTTTCGGATTTTTAGGGATAATTAATTCCTTTATTTTTAAAAATCTAAATATTTTAAATTAATTCAAAATTAAAAATTCGATTTTATTCTGTCAAAATGTTAGAATGTTAACCATAAACTAGTAAATATATTTTTCGATTTTATTCTGTCAGAATGATAGAATGCCAACCATAAACTAGTAAATACATTCTAAAAAGAATACACAAAATCAATTCTTGAACTAACAATATACCAAATAATTACATTGTATGATTGTGATTCATTGAATAATAACAACATTCTGAAAGAAAAAAAAAATCACAATCTAACAAAAACACTAATCAATTCTGATAGAATATTATTTTTTACCAACATTTTATACATTGTAACATAACACATTCTGGTATAATACACTCTCATTCTCTATGTTTTCTTCCTTCTCCAATAAATGTTAGTCTCTTCAAAACCTAAATCCACAAAGAAAACATAATCAAGATTCAAAAATTAAAAAATTCAATGCATTCTAAGAGAATAAAAACTATAAATTCTGACAGAATGTACTTGTTGTTGACAATTATTCTCAAACATTCGAACAGAATACATTTATATAAAATAAATTCTAATAGAATACATTACATAATTCAAGAGCTGTGATTGTATACAGAATTCAATAGTTGTGATTGAATCATCAACACACATGCATTCATTCCCAGTCATGAATTCAAGAAACAAACACACATTTACATTATCGATTTAGAAATATGAACACCAATTTTGACTTTTTCGAAACAAAATCCAACTTATGACTGTGAAGTGCAAGTTGTATCAGAATATTTCTTCAATCGAACAAAAATAAACCATTGAAGATATCGAATTTAATAAGATGATAAACAATCTCGATCTTGAAAAAAATCGAGATAAAATCAATCTCGATTGAGGTAAATAATTTCCAGTTATATCCCCTAATTATTGGATTACCGGACCAAAGAAAGAAGAACAGGAGGCTGCCGGAGGATACCTCCATCCAAGTACCTGCAATCATCGAGATTTCCTCACCGTTTTCTCCTCGCTTCTCATTCGTGTTCATAGACCCCACAACAGCGCCACTACTCCTCCACATCCCCTTCTTTAGCCTCATCGACCCTAGAATCCATCATCGATTGCGAGATGAGAGTATGTGCTCCCCTTTGGATCCGTCGATTGTAGAAGAAGTAGAATCGGTGATGGTGATGGTGTTGATGTCGATGATGAAGTGTTCGGCCGCAAGCATATCTAGGTCAAATATATTTAGTTTAATTTCTTAATTGAATGATTAGTTTATTTCCTTAATTGAATGATTTCAATTAAATAATTTCCTTAAATAAAAGTACAAAAGGTCCAAAATACCGTTTAATGATTTATTTAATTATTTATTATTTCTTGAATTCTCATTGGTGCATTTAGGCACACAATAGTTGCTAAAAACATTTGAACCTAGCTCATATATATATATAGAGAGAGAGAGAGAGACACACACACACACACATGGGACGGTTCACTTGAGATTAAAAAAAAATTAGAGATCTTTAAAGTCAACCTCAGCCACATGT